GCCACAGATGGATGGACTGGCTTTTGGCCTCCTACACCTAAGCTGTCAAATGCTGTGGCCTCTCTGTTGCTTGTCCCACCATCCCTGGGCCATTTGCATCCTCTGTGGGACCCCCGTTTTGATTCCTAAAGGAGGAGTGGTATCTTGGGCTCAGTCAGCAGGCTGCTGAGGCTCTTGGAAACTGGAAAAATTGCCGGGCAAATGCAGGGATTCAGGGAGCGGGATTTCCCATTGTAGATAGGGTTGGATGGGAGAGGAGCATAGGACTGAACACAGGAACTTTTGATGAACTTCCAAAGAATCCTGTAGTTCTCTGGGAGGCAGTTTGAAAACCGCTGGCATGCGCTTGCATGACTGGGGCTTCAGAGACATGTGCGTAGCCTCCACATCCAGCACACTTACAGTCCAGGCCTGCTGTTTGCTCCACCCCAGCAAACTCCAAGCTCCCTGTTGCCTCCAGCTGGGATTTGAGGAATGAGAGCCTCTCTTCTTGCTCTGAGTGTGCCAGGCCCTCCGACTGTGTGCTGGCCGTCCCCATCTGGACTCTATTTCCGAAATACGGCTGAGATGCGCGGAACACAGACCCAGAGTTTAGAGCAGAGCGTTGTTTGTTTTCTTTCAGATCTGAGCTCAGCCCCTCGCAGCATTTTGAGAGAATGTGCTGATTTTGTACATAGCTGTGCTCTGTGTGTTTGGAGTTGCAGCAGACATATGTAGGTGGGGGGGGGGGGGGGGGGGGGACTGGCAGTGGCTGAATGGGGAGGTGGGATCATGGAGAGGGAAAGCTGGAAAGGATGGGAGATGCTTCCTTTTCCTTCCCCCCTTCTGAGGCCGTTCCAGTGTGTGTTGTCTTTCCTGCAATTGGGTTCCCTCCCTGGAGCTGTGACTAGACTTTTTCTAGCGAAGTAGAGTTGGGTCTCCATCAGAATTTGAATGAAGCATTCTGCTGAGGCTAAGGCTAACTTATGGGATATCATTCTGCCATTAGATCGTGATTATGTAAAAATAATTATGAAGGCATTGTAATTTTTGGAAAGTGGGAGGGTGCTGGTTTCCCAGCAGTTTGGCGGGCGAGGGTTTGTTTCCATAGCCCCTTCACAAGGTATATAGGTAAGAATCCCCTGTAGGTGTTCAGGCAGGAAGTGTTTGTGACTTTGAAGAGATTTGAAACTTTTCATTCCAAACGTCAATGGTTCAATGGTAAGGTAAGCAGCTCTTGTGGACTAGTGACTTCGGCCTTGTTTGCAAGGTTTATCAGCCCAGCTGTTGAGGCTTGGTTCAAAACTGGGAACTGAACTTTCACTGCATAAAACTGAGCTCTGATGGACTCCATCAGAGAGCCAGTTTGGTGTAGTGGTTAAGTACAGACTCTAATCTGGGAAAACCGGGTTTGATTCCCCACTCCTCCACTTGCACCTGGCTGGATGACCTTGGGCAAGCCATAGCTCTGATAAGAGCTGTTCTTGAAAAAGAGCAGTTTCGGTCAAGAGCTCTCTCAGCCCCTCCTACCTCACAGGGTGTCTGTTGTGGGGAGGGGAAGGGAGTTTGTAAGCCGCTCTGAGACACCTTTGGGTTGTGAAGGGCGGGGTATAAATCCAATCTCTTCTCTTCTTCTTCCGATGCAGAGCAAAAGTGGTTTGGTTAAGAAGCATCACTAATTCCACTGAAAATTGCTATAACAGAAATAAATGACAGATTCTGTACTCAAAGCCCCAGCATATGCATCTGTATGTGATTAACATACCTCCGAAGTTTTTTAAAAAAGAATTACAATTGAGGGCACGAGTCCTTGGCTGCTGGAGTTCATTTGTTGGTTTTCATGCTAGGTATTTCTTAGTGTTTGGTAAGCCCTTAGAACTGGCCGCTGTCAAGATGTTTTGGATTTAAATTAATTCTAAGTGGCAGAGTGTCTTCCATATACGTATGTTAAAAAAATGTATCTCATCCTGTCCTTTTGAGTTTGTCATCAATTAAGATTGTGATCTTAAGAGGACCAGAGGGGTTTTTCTGTTGGGGGAGGGTGAATTTAGTAATGTTAATCATTTATTTTAGCTCTTTCCAAGGGATAGTACTGATCAAATGCTGGAGAGTCTGTCCTTCCGTGGCTTCCTTTTGCAGCATCTCAGCATCCACTAAGTCTGCATCTGTGATGAACTGCAAAGGATTCTGCAAGCAGTGGGGAATGCACATTTAGAATGACAGAATCCCATTTTTTTAAAGGAATCTTGTAGTGCAATCTTGAGACACCGCTCAGTGACTGAACATCTCCCTGCTGCCACCTGTGGCTAAGAGCCTGGAGGTGTTGCATCCTGAACATTGCTTTCTTTTGCCTGAGCCATGCAGCATCCAAGTCAAAGACTTGGATTGCAGTCCCTCCCAGAATTTAATTGTCCCATCTCTGCCTTGGCAGGCCTTTTCCGTCATGGGGATTCCCAAACTTTGTACAGGAGGATTTGTTCTTTGTTTGGGATCTGTGGGCAGTTCCATTCTGTGGGAGGTGGGTGGGTTCTCCTCCTTTCCATTTGGACAAAGCTCACATTACTGTGTCCTGTCACTCAACTGCTTTGCTCATTAAATTCTGCTCTCCCGTCCAGAAGAGATTGGAGCCAATCTAGGTTTGAAATCTTGTCACAGCCTAGACTGGAATCTTGACTGGAATCTTGCCTACCTCTACAGCTTTGAGAAAGTTTCTCAACTTTCACACATCCCAGGATTAACTCTGAGAAGCAATTCATTGCAGCTGCTTAACAACTGTTTCGTAAAATGGCTCCTGTTGTGTGGCTTCTGGTTCACTTAGAAAGGCTCTTTCCCATTGTGTTAAGCTGCTCTGCACTATGCATGTATTAAGAAAGTCTCAGCAACATTAATTGGTCAACACATTCCACAGCCTTGGGGGTATCTTAGTTGAGTGTGTGTGATGTTGAGTCCTTTGGGACTTGTGGCTAGGCCCAGATTTCAAGGGCACATGAGATAGTTCCATGCTGGCATGAAAAACACATTGCCTGTAGACGAAGAGATGTTGGCCTTTTTTGTGCCCAGTGTATCAAAGACCTGCTGTGTTGGAAGTGGCATCTCTCTTGGCACATAGCAGGTGCCTCTGATTATTGACCTCTCCCTGCAAGCCCCAGGACAGGATCTGGAAGCTAAACCTAGAAGCACAGAAGGGTTGTGACATAGAGTCTTCTGTCAACGTCACCTGTGTTTTGGGGTATGCCTGACCACTTGTCAAAGCACATGAGTTAGTGGTGAGGTCTCCAGTTGCTCGGGGTATGTGTGTGTCAAACAACATTTCCTTTTCCTTCCTGCCTATCATCCACTCTTCTGTTAGCCAGAATAGTTGTGGCTTGCGCCCCTGGGCATGGCTTGAGCATGGGCTCCTCCAGCAAACAAGCAACGCAAGACCTTTGTGAGTTCTGAACAGTCCCACTGGCATTTTGGCAGCACAATAGGCCCTTGTGTTGGCCAGGCCACGGGGGAAGCAGCTGAGGGAGCCCCCTTGGTATTTCACGTGACTGCGACGGAGAAGGGTGGCCAAGCCCAGCTCTCTGCTTTGCCTGGTGCTGCAGCCCCAGCTTGGTTCTGGAGTCATTGCTGGCAGAACCGTCTCCTCAGGGGTCGCCGCTCTGCAGCCAGTAAGTGAGGGTGGACTGTAGCTGGAGGCCAGCCGGCAACTTTAGCACTGCTGGTTCTTTGGATGGTGCTTTATCCTGTCCGTCTGGGCTGAGCAGCCAGCTTTCCCAAGGGCTCAGCCCAGGGACCTGCCTTCTCTGCTTTGTCCCTTTATCTTGTTCCCTGGTCCAAGGGGAGGATGCAAGAGAAAAGGGGGAATTTCTCTCAGGGTGAGGTCAGGAAAGTGTAAGGCTCCAAAGCAGAGGGGAGTACTTTCCCTTGGAAGAAGGGTTGTGGGAGGGGGAGTTCCTTGGCTCCTAAACTGGGAAGTTGTTGGGATGGGTAGAGGCTGCTAATGGGAGCTGTTTCAGGGAAGGGAAGAGACTGTATCAGTGCCCCATCTCTCCTGTATGGAACAGCTGCAAGTGGTTGAGGATATGAAAGAGAGGTAGGTAAAGAGAAGCCCAGGCAGAAACCTCTCCCTCTGTAAGGTCTTCTTTTAGCCTAAGGACTGTTTTTATGAAGATCGTTTTACGCTGTTTTTAGTGCTCTGGTTGAGATTTTAATAGTGTATTAATTTGAATTTTCTGCTGTTTTAAAAATGACTTTATCATGCTTTACTTTGTGACCAGCCACAAACAGTTTCTCTGGAGAGGTGGCGTATGGATTTTCTAAATAAATAAAAGTGCTAGATCCCAGCCGCAGAAGAGAGAGGGGAGCATTTGTCCGTGGCATTGCCTGGTTAAGAGACTGCCCTGCGATATGGGATGGCCTCTGGTGGCACTGTCTGTGTGGTTCCTCTCCCTTAAAGCCCTTCCCACGCTTGCTACCGGTAGGGCACAGGAGAACTGTGTGTGGCAGTGGTGGAGGAAGTTGACTTGTTTGTTCTCTTTAATGCTAAACTAAGCAGTTTCCAGCTGGTGTTCATTTCTGCAGAGGGTGCCTACGAAGGACGTGTTGCTTGAAGCAAGACCTGCTTGGGAAGAATGCCACTACGTTTGTAAGAGAAAACTGGAGGGTCTTCCTCCATTTTCTCCCCCTCAGTCCTTGTGGCAGGCGGCAGCCGCTTGCTGGACCGATTGGGGAGCACCTGGGGGTGTGCTGTAAGGCCCTGGTGGGAGCTTGGCCTGCCTGCCTGCCTGCCTCCTCTCACAAGCCAGCCGGATGGTGTGGTTAGAGGGCAGTGGTAGGATATGGGCTGGAATCCCCACAGTGCCGTGGAAGCTCAGTGGTTGACCTTGGGCCAGTCTTTTACTCTCAGCCTAACCTACCTCACTGGGTTGTTGTTAGGATAATGTGGATGTTGTTGTATGCTGCTTGGGGTCTCCCTTGGGGAGGAACGTGAGGTGTAAATATCTAAACTAGTAACACTTGGCCTTCTTCCGGTTCAGGTGGAGGATGGCGGGAAGGCAGCCTTGTCGCAGAAGATGCGCCCTGGGGACGAGCTGGTGAACATCAACGGGACCCCCCTGTATGGCTCTCGGCAGGAGGCTCTGATCCTCATTAAGGGCTCCTACCGCACACTCAAGATGATCATCCGGAGGTGAGAGGCTCCAGGCAGCCGGGAGCTGGCTCAGGAGCTGGTAGGCCAGGCTTTAACTAGCCCTTGGAGAGGCCCTCTTGCTCCCCTGTCCCGTCCTGCTATTGTGTCAGTCCTGCTGGGCACTGAAGGTGCAGGGGTGCTTGCTTGGCAGTACTTGAGTTGCCGCAACAAAAGGATGGTCCTCGTGGCTCCCCGCCATACCTTGCCTGTGCCAGCTTTTCCAACCCCTTATCAGACACTGGAACCCTTTGGCTGAAATGCTGCTGCCCTCGTGTGGCAGGAATTAAGATTTGCAGACCTGTTGGAGAGTGTGGAAACACATCTCCCCCCCCCCCACACACCTCCCTCCGTCCACACAAACGCAGACACCTTCGGGAGTAGACTGGAGTTAACAGTAATTTAATAATTTAGGAGCGCCAACACTGTGATTCTTCAACATGTAATAACTGGACAGATCTGAGATATAAATAACATTTCTTTTTATGAGATGGGCTGCCGTTCGTGGGAAAGTGTGCAGACTTTTGCACTTTGCAGAATGTTATTCGGGAGAACAGAAAGTTGAACTAATTCACAGATACAGAGAGCATAATTACAGGAATGCATAGATGCATCTGGATTTTTCCTATGTGGGAGTGATAAGATCTGTTTGGTTTTTTTTAAAGGCATGCTCCAGGGTAGGTGGAAACATCCTACTTCCAATTCTCTGATAGAGGATTGTGTAGTGAAGTTGGTGTGTTTCTGTGAGTTCTTTCTTGGCCCTTCTGTATACAACTTAAAAGTCACAATCTGCCCTTCAGCATGGCCACCTACATTGAGCCAGAGGATCCTGGCCATACACAGCAATCAGACATGCGCGCACACACACTCATGCCGGCCCTTGGAGGCAGGGCAGAGTTGCGTGTCTGGAAAGCTGCAGGGTTCTCTGCTCCAGGCCTTTGGATGCCATTGGTCTCCCTGGCTTTGCTGTCTTCTCCTACCTAACCCTCCCCGGCCCACACATGGACACGCACGCACACCCAGGCTCCTTTAGCCCCAGTCCCATGGCTCCCAGCACAGAGCTGGCAGTGATCTCACCCTTCCTGTGCTCTGTCCCAGCCGCTTCCTGCGTGGGGTGAGTGTTGAGACCGAGCCAGAAGGCGGCTGCAGTTGTTCCGCTAGGCGGACTTCTGGAATTCCCCCTGTCCGTCCAGAGCTTTGGGGGGAGTTTCCCCATTTCAGGGACCCCCTCAGTGTTGGGGGCCAGCAGTACCCCCTCCTGTAGAGCAGCCTGCCTCCTGCTGTAAGTACAGAGTGGCTAGCAGGTGCCGTGCGCTGGGAGCTACTGGGGCCTTTTCTTTCCCAAGCAGGCAATATGGAGTTTCTTTCAGCCTTAGGTCTTGCAGCGGGATGGCTGCTGCTTGCAAAGCCAGGAAGCCCAGTTCCCCTGGGGGGTGGTCTCTGGCCTCCGCTATTACTGCCGTCTGCTCTGTGTGCAGTGTTATCTCCCTGCACATCACTTCCTCACCACTTCCTGGCTGTGAGGGAATGAGAATGGTGTCTGGCTCTGGGAGTGGGGGGGGGGGCAGGAAACCCTTGGCTAGTAAGGAGCCCCTCCCTATCATGCAGGTTCCAGCCCCTCCAAGCTGACTGTTCCCCACAACTTCCAGCTGTCTGTAGGCTGGAGCGCTGGCGTGCTTTCTGTCCTCTAAGCAAATCCCCGCAGGTCTCTTCCACTTCCCAGTGACAGGTGAGTGTAGAGCCCACAGGGGCACAAACCTCTGCCTCCTACCCTGATTGCATCCTTTCCCTTTTAGAAAAGGAGGGGGGATTCTCCTATGCATTTGGCTGTAAACAAAATTGAGCATCACAGGACTGTAGAGATGAGGATCCTTCTGTCCTGTTTAGTAAAAGGGCAGGCACAGATTTTCTCATGCTGTTTGGACTTCTGGAGTTTTGCAGGCACATGCAGGTCCTCTGGGTGCTGCTCAGCTGGTGGATTCCACAAGGCTCCTCAACAGACCTGCCGTGTTCTCTTTTAAGCTGTTCTTTTTCTGCTGAGAGCATTAACCTGTGTGATGCTGGAGTATTGGGTGGTGAAGGGGATGTTGTGTCTACCCTACTGTGATCTGAAAACAGGCTACAGGAGACTCCGTGCCTGGAATGGTTTTGGTCTTTTCAGCACTCTGTAGTTGGGTGACATTGGTGAGGATAGGCCAATGCCTACTCCATGTTGTCCTGTCACTACTGTAACACTGTAGCTAATAGCACAAGCTATGAGCATGGTTCAGGCGGCAGCTCTGCCGTGAGTTCCGTAGGTGTCCTTTCATGAGCCCCTTATGTGGGATGACATATTGTGGTCTGGATTGGACGGACTTGTGGGATTGTAGGTGAATAAGTGTGGCTGTAGAAGGCTGCTAGGAGCTGCAGTGGCTCAAGTGGTTAAGACGCTGAACTGCAGGCTGTGGAAGGTTGGTAGTTCAGCAGTTCGAGACCCGAGTTGCCGCATGACAGAGTGAGATCCCGTCTCTAGTTCCAGCTCCTGCCAACCTAGCAGTTCGAAAGCAAGAAATTGCAGGTAGATAAATAGGTACCACTTCAGTGGGAAGGTAACAGCGTTCCGTGCGCCTTGATGTTTAGTCATGCTGGCCACATGACCACGGAAATGTCTTCGGACACCGCTGGCTCTTCGGCTTTGAAACGGAGATGAGCTCCGCAATCCGAGAGTTGGACTCGACTGGCTTTCGAGCAAGTGAACCTTTACCTTTACTAGCAGGCTGCTGGACTGACTAGATGGCCTTTTGGTATCCCCTTCAGCTCTGTACTTTTAGGAAGCAGCCAACTTGTAAGTCCCAGGTGGCAGTGCAGGTGCATCCTTGCTGAGCCAAGGCCCTGCTTCCTTGTTCTGCTCAGGGCCTATCGCTGTCATGTCTTGATGGGTCCTGTCTTGGGTTCCCTGATTTCTCCTTGTTGCTGCAAGTGCTGCCACTGGGTGAGCAGACTAGCAATCCATTCTCCTTATGGTTGCTTTTAAGTGAACATTAAAATCCTGACTGTTTCACTCACAGCTCTCCAACCCAACATGTCTCTTGGCACCACAGTTGGCACTTTAATATCCAACTGGAATCTTACAAGAACAACAAATGTAAAAAATGCTGGGGGGGGGGGCTTTTATCTGGGCTTCTGGGATGTGGAAGAGATTTCCTTGGGCTTTTGTCTGCAACTAAGAGAGCGACAGCTTCATGGACTTTGAGTGCAACATGCCGTTGCATGAACTGAGGCTCCTGGAGGCTTTTCTGTAAATACATCACCAGTGAACAACCAGACTTGGTCCTACGGGGAAAGGGAACATCTTTGGCTGCAGTTCACAGGGCAGTAAGGGCAAGGTGCCATGGGCTGGAGATGAGGCAACAGGAGAGTTTGGGTGGGAAAAGGCGCTGAAGAGAGCTGGCACTGGTTGCGGGGCACAGAGCTGGTCCCTTCCAGGGAGCCCAGTATGCAGCCGTTAGTGGGGGGAAATCCAAGATCCCTGCCTTCCATTAGCTCCTCATTAGTCTTCCCTGTTATGTGTGTGTGTGTGTGTGTGTGTGAGTGAGTCTTAGTGTGCCTTCCTTCCAGTAATGTCCTTTCCATTCTTGCCACTGGGCAGGAGGAACGTGCCCGTCATCAGGCCTCACTCATGGCACCTGGCCAAGCTGTCCGAGGTCCGGACTGAGACTGCCGCCATGCACTTTCCTGCAGATGCCTTCAGCCTCTCCTGGCACTCGGGATGTGACACCAGGTGAGTGGGCAGCGGAGAAGGGCTGTTGCGCTTGTGCGTTCTCCTCTTAGGAGCAGTATTCTTAGGAACAGCGGGGGCTGGAGAAGGGTGGGTACGTTCAGGAGAATGAATCGGCACCCAGAAGCCCAGACTGTTTGGTCCCCGATTCCCTTGATGGCCAGAGTCATTCATGGCTGGTACCAGCCCCCCCTCCCAGTGTGTCTTCTTTCATTTAAGTGCAGAGATGTGGCAGGGTGGCTGGCTGGCCATCTGGGCCTCTCTTTCTCTGGATTTGTACCCCTGGGCTATCTTGGAGAGCTGCTTTTTTTGCTGGATTCTGCAGCAAGCCAGAGCTGGGGGGGCTCTGTGGTTGTTCTTCCACCCTCAGAGGCCATGGGTTAGACTGTGCCGCTGAGTAGCTTCAGCGCTGCGTTTCCTAGCTTGCTGGGAGGGGGGGTGGCTGCCTAACCCTTCCGCGCTCTCGCTCGGCAGTTCCTGTCAGCCTTGCCCTTGTCTGGGAACTCAGAGCTGGGTGTGGACCGGGCTGCTGGGCTTCAGGCTGCTCCGCGACACAGATGGGTCTAGCCTGGGAGCTTCGGCGGGGCTGGCCTGCCCCATTCCCTCTCAGAGCTCTGGCTGGCCCCGGGCAAAACCGTCGCTGCTCTGCGAGCTGGGTGTGGGGCACGGGCTCGAGCTGGCTCCCCTTGGCAGCCGCTTGTTTTGGGCTGAGCTTTCTCTCATCTCCTGTCAGGAAGGGAGGTGGCTTGGGAGCTGCTCTGGCTGCCAGAAAGGGAGGTAATGAATTCCAGATCTCTTGCCCAAGTGAAAAGAGCTGGAGCTGCCAATTCTGGATGGCTGGCGGGTGTGGCGGGCATGCTCAGTGCACACTTCCCTGTCCTGAAAGGGCTCTTAGGGTGCTTGGGATTGGCTCCTGCCCGGCTGGATTCTGAAAAGAGGCAGGGGCCCTTTCAAGAAGGGGCGCGTGGGGGAGAAGATGCCTTGGAAAGGAGGACAGTCAGAGATCCCCCGCAGGGCACAACAACATGATGCTTTATAGGGAATGGTTGGGACCATGGGCCATAGGGAGGCGTGATACAGGGCAGGGGTCTCCAGCAGGTAGCTCACAAGCGCCTAGTAGCTAGCCAACCGCTGCAGAGTAGCTCATGCATTCCCTAGAAGACTGGCAAAAGATCTAGGTTTCTGTTTTTTAAAAAGCTTTAAATCTGGTAGGATTTTTCTCCATGCTGCTTAACTGTTAGCTTCATTTCTTTTGCTTTTCCTAGTCCGTGTTCTGTTTCTAGGACAGAACAAAACCTGGTACCCTGCAGGGTGTAGGAGGGGAGCAGCTTGGGATTTTTCCCCTTTTCTCTGAAGTAGCTCTCATTAATGAAGTTGTTGGTGGCCCTCATCCAGAGCCTTTAAGGAGCTGCTGTGTGACTCAGGAGTGTCTGGATACATCTGGACATTCTGCAGTTAGGAGTGTCTTGAAGGAGGATCCTTTGGTAGAGCTGGAGTTATCTCCTTGTAGTGAATGGCGCAAGCTCTTTGCTTTCCGTCCAGAATTACTGTAGTTATCCTTTTTGGCTGCTCATTCTTCATTGTCAGTCGAAGGTCTCCCTGTGACCAAAGTGACCCCGCATTGCCCCTCCCATGCAGCTGTGTCCAACTTTTAGCACCCATTAGGCCACCTGTAAACATAGCACCCACCTGCGGTCCCCTGGGGCAACTCAAGTTGTTTCAGGGTGGAATCCCAGGAGGAGGTCATTCGCTCCCTGTATCATAGCCGCTGGCATTGCGTTATGAAATGCTGTCGCAGGCCAGCCAATAGGAGCCCTGGAACTGAATGCTAAAGTAACATGCTTGTAAAATCTGGGAGGATTTTTTGGGATCCAAGCCTACCTGTGAAGCTAGTGTAGTTGTCAGTGCCTTAGGGGCTCATGCACCCACCAAGCTGAAGCTAAGTAGGTCCACGCAAGGTCCCTGGGAATCCTCATAGACACCCTTGAAATTCTGTGATGGTAGAAAGGTGGGTTAGAAATAGAATTTGGTAATAATTCGGCACATGGCAGAGTTGAGAGCAGTGATTTGTCCAGCAGCCCCTCCCCCAAGGCCTGTCCCCACTTGCTTATCTGAGACTAGGGTGTCATCCCAGCAGAATCCCCACCCTGTGGCCGTTTGTGTCAGGCTGTGCTGTTCAGTAAAGTGCTTCGTCTCCATGGGGCAGGGAAGCAATCAGCTGCTCCCTCGTGGCGTTTGGAACCGTCCTGTTTATTGGGCAGTTGAGTGCCTCCTCACTACTGGATGCCAGCATTGCTTGTGGCTCTTTTCCTGCCGCCTGTTGTCCCGGGAACACAGGGGTCGATGTGAACATCTTCTCAGTCAGGCCACAGGGGAAACTGCAGCAAAGGCCTGGCCAGAGGTGAACGGGGGAGGCAGAGGCAGGAGCGGCACAACCGAACTTGTCAATACGATGCTGCCGTATACCAGGCCAGACCACTGAGCCATCCGAGTTCACTGTCTCCTGAAAGGTGGCTGCTCTCCAGGGCCTTTCCCCAAAAGGTCATTTTAAATGGGGATGTTAAACATGAGCTGGGTTGCTGAGCAGCCTCCTGGCGCCTGACCACCTTAAGGGAGGCAAAGGGGTAGGAAGGGAGGCAAAGGGGTAGTAAGCCAGACTGCAGAGTGACCTGAGGAAGCCGGGACAGGATCCGGCCCATCTGTGCCGAGCGTTCTTAAGCCTGTCTCTCCTCTTCCCCTCCCTTGCAGCGACCTACCTTTGCCGTGGAACCCGCTGTCCCGCCACTGCAGCACCGACAAGAGCAGCTCCCTTGGGAGCATGGAGAGTCTGGACCAGCCAGGCCAGACCTACTACGAGGGCAGCCTCTCCCCCATCGACCAGGCCATGTACCAGAACAAGCGCGACTCTGCCTACAGCTCCTTCTCCGCCAGCTCCAACGCCTCTGATTCTGCTTTGAGACCCGAGGAGAACAGCTCCACCGAATACGTCCAGCAAGGCCAGCTGCTGGAGCCCCGCTACCTGCAGACTGGCAGTGACGGCAGCGAGACCACCGGGACAGTGAGCCTGCCTTTCCCGGCTAGCCAGCTCAGCCCCAGCACAAGGCCAGCCTCCTGCACTCAGGAAGGTCCCTTCCCCGGCTCTGCCAAAGCCTTCGCCCCTCCCCAGCCCCCGGTGAGGCAGGACAGCCTGCGGGCTTGCAACCCCTCGCCAGCCAGCACAGAGACGCAGGGGGCCTCGCCCCAGGCCGATTCTCTGCACCCGAAAGGCAGGTGGACCTCGGACATTTCTCTCTCTGTGCACAGCAGAGGCCCTGAAGGGACCGGCGGGCAGTTGGCCTCCGCAAGCCACACCAAAGAATCTCTGCCCACGGACCAGTACTATCTGCTGAGCTCCCACGCGGAGGGACACCCGCCCATGGAGAGAGGAGCGCAGAGCATGGAGTCGCTCTTGAATGAGGAGGGTGGAGTTGCCCCTCCGGAAGAGCCTGCCCAGCGCATGGACAGCAAAGAAAGCGAGGCTGATCTGGGTGGGCGTAGCCACCTCTCTCCCTTTCCTTGGAAGGACTGTTGGTCAGGACACCTGGCTCACCGGCACAGTGCCCCCGAGCAACTGCTGGCTGCCCAGTTGCAGGCTCTGAAGGTAGCCCATAGCCCGGAGGGACCTCATTGGACTGTTTCTCCGCTGCACGTGGAGAGCAAGAGCCCCAGAACTCAGGAGTCATGGCAGACGCAGGGCCCCGGCCGCCAGAGCCCTCCGGGTCAAGCACAAGACCCGGATCTTAGCCCAGTGTCAGGGGAAGGGTCTTGGACCCCCGAGAGCTGCCACACAGTTCAAGAGAGGCCCAGGAGTGCTTCAGTGGAGCTGCCCTCATCCCCGTCGATGCAGCCTTCTGGCCCCGAGGCTGTCCCCAGTATGGATGCTTTGACAGTGCAAGGGGGACAAGACGGAGATGGGAGCCGGCCCGCCACAAGGAAGGGAGGCTCGGCTCAGCACCGCTCAGCCCAGATGCGCCGGCGCAGTGACCGTTTCGCCACCAACCTGCGCAACGAGATCCAGTGGCGCAAGGCCCAGCTCCAGAAAGCCAAAGGCTCTGTCATGCTCCTGTGTGGAGAGGAGCCGGTGCAAGAGACCGAGGAGCCCCCCGACAGCCCCACTGCTCCCGCCCCTGTTCCTCCAGCCTTCCACGCAGAAAGCAGGCCACACCGAACGGCCGGCCCCAAGCGCTGGGGCTCTGAGCTGAGTGTGCTGCGGGGAGACGTTGCTCCCCAGAGCCCCAGCTGGGTGCCTCCAGAGCCCAAGTGGGAGGCCCCCTTGCCGGAGCCTGAGAAGACCATGGCAGCTCTGCCGTTGCCGTCTGGGGGAAGGGGTCGCTGGCGGTGGTCTCCGGAGCACAAATTGCAGCCCCACTCTCCGAGCCCCCAGGGGCCAGAGCTGGGCTCACCGTCGCGGCCTCCGGAGGAATCTGGCCTCCTGCCTTTTGCCGACAGGCGGAAGTTCTTTGAGGAGACGAGTAAGGCGCCAGCCTCTGCCCACGTAGCCTCCCGCCACGGCAGGCCTGGCGGTTTGCGTCCCAGAGGGGTGGAGCAGAACGCTTTCCAGCCCGTGAGTTCTGAGCACAGGGACCAGCGCCGGCACTCCATGGACCATTCCTACGGCCCTCCATCCTCGCCTCCCGTCTACCCGGAGTTCCGGCCAGAGGTGTCTGGGTTTTACAAGCCACTGGCCCGGCACAGGGACTGTGAATGCTGGCGGTCCCTTCCCTGTGCTTGTGCGACCCGAGAGGCCTGTGCCTACTGCTGTGGGGAAAGGTGCCCCACCTTGCTTCAGAGGAACATGCCGGTGCCATCCAGCCACTGTACCCACCACTGCCACCCTCGCCCCTGGGCCCGCTGCACTGACTGCTGTTGCCCAGCTCAGCACAAGCTCTTGGAGGAAGGGGGTCCCTGGCAAGCCAGGAAGACCTACCCGCCGGTAAGAGGGGCGTCGCTCAGGATGCCGTGGCGACGGTTTGCATGTACGAGGTCGCTTGGCTCAGTTTATAGCAGGGCTGGGGGAGGCCGCAGCTGGCCAGAGTGGGTGGGGCTATTGGGCTAACCTGATGTAAGGGAAGCAGAGAACTCTAACGGAGGACGGGATCTGTTTATGGCCAAGGACAGAACATTCCCCAAGGAGACAGGTGGGTTTTAATCATCACGTGTGGCTTGCAAGCTTCCTGGAGCGTCTGGTTTTGCTTTGGTTTTAGACATGGAATGGCCGGACCCTTTTGTGTGGGAAGGTGAGCCCCAGAGTTGGGGCAGGGGTATTTGCACATCCAGCAGCTCTCCCTCTGTCTGCAAGCACAGCACAGCTAGCTCAGGGCTTCCCCTTGTCTGTGAGATTCCCTTCCTTTGCAAAGGGGTGGGTGTCACCTTCGCCCCACACCTCCCAGCTCACTTGTGGCCACACGAGCCCCAGTTCCCTTAGATGTGGAGAATCAAGCAGGCCAGGAGCAAAGCTGGGCCCCTTCCAGTGAGGAAGGGCAGGGCTGCCCCTCCTGGGCTGCCCGGCACCATCGCCATCACCCAGGCTGAAAGGCAGCCTGCAGGAAGAACTGTGCCCTGTTGCATCCCCTTCACCTTTGGGTCCTTCTTTCCAGGAATTTCCCGTGGATGATTGGGAGCCTCCGGCAATGAACAGAAAGAACAGCCAGTCGATGAGGTAAGGGGCAGGGCAAGAAACACTGGGCCTTGGGGCGGCAGGGAATCCCCTTGCCTGCCACAGATGTTGGCAGGGTACGGGTGGGGTGCTCCTGCCTGCTGAATCCGCACCCAACACCACAGAGTGCTTTCCAGCATTGGCCTCTGTACCAATGGCCACGTGGCCTGCATGAGGCTTCGGGCAGGAGCAGTCCACGGAAGGGATTCTTGCAGGCCAGGGGATAGTGAAAGCGTTCCTTCCCACCCCCGTTGAGCTTTGTGTTTGCCATAGCTGAGCTCCTGGGAGGGTCGGGATGCAGTTCAGTTTACGGATAAATACTGCTTCTTTGTGGCTCCTGGTGCTTCAGCCCCGGGTGTTTGCACCAGCTGAGGCCAATGGGGACCGTTCTTGGGATGCCGAGAGCCACCCACAAACTCCTCCTGCTGGGCTGGGAACATAATGGGTGAATGGAGTGAGCACAGCCAGGAATGCAAAACGGCAATCTGGTGTGTCTGCGCTGGGCAGAGGGAGAGCTATCTATACAGCCTCCTCTTGACGCAGAAGGCATTTCCCATGGCTATACCAAACCATGAGGGAGCATAACTGAAGGGGGGGGGTTGAAGGGGGGGGCGGATCAGTAGAGCCAGACTTTGTTAGTACATGCAGGAGATCCCCATAGGCAGAAGATCATCTGCCCGTGAGCCTGTCCTTGTAGGAGCCGGTTGAAGCCTGCGCAGGGAGAGGAGCAAAGGTGCTCCCCCTCCCTTCCCCACCCCCACACAGCAGACATTCAGAAGATTTTTTTTTCCTCGTCACTCTTGCCAGACGTTATTGTGATGTTGCTGCTGCGGGTTGACAACTGCCCCTTTGTAGTTGAGTTGTTTTGCTCAGCCGGACTCGTGACCAGAGGTCTCCTACAGCCGTTCATTCTTCTTGGAGAGACAGCAGCCACATTGCAGGGCGAGCCAGAGTCGCGCTTAGCTCCCGGCTGGAACTAATGAGCGGGCATCCTTCGCGGAGCTGGCTTTCGACTTGGGTAGGGGGGGATCTTTGCCAAAGTGAATTGAGCTAATTGAGGAGTCCAGTCGCCGCAGCCAAACTTCAGGAGAGGGGTGAGTGGGAGTCCTTTGCTGCGTGCCTTGCGCAGCGCCAGGTGCTGCCTTAACTGGAGAGTCCCGGTGCGTGTGGCTGCTCTGTAAACTGTGTCCTGACCTTTCTTCCAGCGAGCTGGCGCAACAGAAGATGGGCTTTGTGCGGGTCGGCCACTTCTGGCCCTGCTCGGAAAACGTTGAGCCAGAGTGGGCTCCTTTCTGTCGGGCTTTGTCCACTCACAGCCTCTCTTGGGACCGTGAAAGGCCAGGCCAAGCTGTGGAGAGCCAGGCCTGTGAGGAGAAAGCCATCTGTGGGGAGAGCCAGGCGGCGCTTCCAGAAGACAGAGGCAAGAGGCCCCGCTGGCCAAGCTGGAGGAGTTGCCTTTCACGGCCAGAAAGAAGGGCCCGCCCCCTCCACGCCCCCCACCCCCAAAGTGGGAGAAGTACCACCCACGCCGTGCCTCCCACCACCAGCTGCTTCCCACTGAGGCCGGCCTGTCAGCAGTCCCGGAAGACCCTCGCGCCTCCAGCCAGATCAGCACAGACGTGGCCAGGCAGCGGTCTCAGAGCCTCCCCCTGGAGCAACTCTGGGGTGATGCGGCCCAGGAGCCCCAGCCCAGGCCTCGGGGATCTGCCTTGCCCAGGGAGCACGGCGACCCACACTGCTACTGCCGTGGCTCGCCACGTGGGACTCCAGAGTGGCCGACCCCAGACCTGAGCGGCGAGAGTGACTCCTCCAGGCAAGTGCCGAGGACTTTGCGCCCTGTCGCTCGAGCTCCAGGGAAGGGCAAGGGGGAAGGGTGGCAGGAATGTCTAGCTGGGCAGAGTTGGGGAAATCAGTGCCAGGTATCTTCTCATATGTTGTTATCCTGTATCTTGAAACGGGAAGACTGTGCCCCTCTTCAAGGAGGTTCAGCCTGAACTATACTGTGGCCATATCAAAAGTTTCTGATTGAAACCTAAAAACTGGGAGAGGGGAGCCGGCAATACCCCTACTTGTGAAGATGCCATGTCGTCGGTCTGTTTCTAACCGGTGCCTGGCTGGTTTTGTGTTAAAGGCCGGCAAGTTCCCTGGCAGAGGAAGAAAAACCTGAGCCCTTGTGGAATAAGGAGCAGAACGCAGTGTCTAGCAGAGGCCCAGAACTGCCGCAGGCCAGCCCCGCCAGTCTGAGTGAGTCCCGTTTGGTCTTGGGCATGCCAGGTCCTTGATGTCCTTTCTGCTGACTTACACCATGTCTCCACACAGGCGCCAGAGAGTCCGAGTCTGCGCAAGAGGGTGCTGGAGAAGAGAGCTGCCATCCAGGCACGGCAAGCCCAGCACCACCCTTCCGCCTCAACTCGGAGGAGCTGATGAGGGACGTGGCAGGCAGGGACCGCTCCCTGGCTGGTGTGCTAAATCCGGCCTCGGGACTGGTGACAGCGGCCGAGGTGATGAGTGACCTCTTCTCCCCCAGCGAGTGCGACATGTGGAAGGGGCAGGACTGGCAACCACAGGCGGCTGGCAAGGGACTCCCCGAGAGGTAGGAACAGTTCGGCAAGCCGAGATTTGGAGATGGAAGCACCCGATTTGTTGGGAACGGAAGGAACGGGGGTTGCTGGGGAAGTAGGAAGCCGAGACCTACCTGTGGAGCTGCTTTGTGCCTCATGGGGCTGACATCAGTCTTCCCTCATAGCTAAAACCATGGGCCTAGAGTTCCCCTTATGGTGTCCCATAAACCCAGGGCTTTGTTCAGCCTTTTGCCACTCACAGCTCCCTCCCGCCTGGGCTTGGGTCATGTGGCCCCTTGTGCTCATGTGGGGTTGAGGTTCCATAACGCTCTCTGTTGGTGCAGGCATCCGGCTCAGCCCGCATCCCCAACCTCAGGGGGCACCTCCTGTTCAGCCTATTACAACCTGTCATCAGGAAAGGCCGAGCTGCTGAACAAGATGAAGGAGCTGCCGGGAGCCAGTGCGGAGGAGGAGGAGGAGCCAGACCACGATCTGGCCCGGAAGAAGGTGAGAGGCCTTGCTCTTGTCCGGAGAGTAAAACAAAAAAAAAGAGGGGAAACCAGCGTACATGAAAAGGTACAAAGCACAGAAAAACCGCTGACTGAAATCACTAAAGGTGAACAAAAAATATATATAAAAATAATGATTTTAATAGCAAGTTCAATAACACAGTAACCATACAGCTAGATAAAGCCAAGATGTTCAGTGTGTCTCACTCCTGTTGTATTGTAATTCCATAGTCATATAGTTCCTTGAAAATCCATATGGTTTATGGATTTCAAGATTATATGGATCTTCAAGGAACTGTATGAGTCCACTCCATGATGAATGTATCTCAAGTTGGACTACGGAATTACAATACAACAGGAGTGAGACACATTGAAACTTTCGGGGCTTTATTTCTCTGCACTATTTTTTCTTGTAAGAACACCTTGGCTTTATCTAGTTATTGTGTTATTGAACTTGGTATTAAAATAATTATTTTTATACATTTTTGTTCACCTTTAGAGATTTCAGCCAGCAGTTTTTTGTGCTTTGTACCTTGTCCAGAGAGTGTCAGAGATCATTAGCTCCTGTAGCCCCAGGGAGTCTGGAGGGAGATGCCGCCACGAGAGTCCAGCGGAGAAAGCAGCCCCTAGTTTTGCTGGCCTGCAGCTCCAACTCTAGCACTTCATGCCACAACAGGCTCATTCACACCAGTTTGCTCCACTCCTGCTAGTCAGAGAGGGAAGCAAAATGCACGCAGAGCTCTGGAAGTTCTGCTTTCCTCCCTTTCTCCCCAGACTCCTGGGATGTATCCAAGCTTTGCCCCCCACATTTTGAAGCCTGTCTTGTTGCAGCCATGAGGGCTAGTAACGTGCTGTGTTTGAACACTGCTCGAAAGCTGGGCACTCTTGGGACGTTGACTTCCGAGCCTGTTTCCTGCAGCTTCCCTCTGTACTCCCAGCCTTTTTGTGTGGGCCCTGCCGAGCCAAGCAGAAGAACATTTGCCTGGGTTGGGGGGAGAGGGATGCTGGCTTCCCTGGTGCATGAAAACCTTTCATTAAATCTTGCTGGAGTTAGCCTGGTGGATTTAAGCCTCTTGGGTCCCTTTTTCTGCCATTTGCGTTGCTAATGTACTTTTGCTTCCTGGCACCTTTTTTGCAGCTTCTGGCTGAGTGTGAAATGCCCACATCTGTCCCACTTGGGGAGGGGGTCTCTAAGGGGACTGTCTAGCTCTAAAGACCAAGGCACTTGCTGTGTTCACTGTGTGCATGAGAGAGTGAGAGCGAGGGAAACCAGAAGATGCTGGTTGGTGTTACAACAAAATGTGCATCATAAAAGTTAAGCTTTTTAGGTGGGAAGAGAGTAGAGCAGATTTTAAGGCCCCCAAAGGTATTCACCAAGAGTCAAACTTAAGTTAACATCCCCTGCCTAAAACTTCACCTCCCACATTTCAGATTTACAATATTACTATCTACAGAGTCTTCTCCAGCCTCCAAGCTGGATCTGATGTTCGATCTCAGCCTGAAGGAGAGCCTTGTGTATATCCAAAGCTTGCTTTGTTCCTTCAGTTTTTCACCAACACAAATTTATCTGATTAAATAGTGCTAGAGCAGGTGAGATACTGAGGGCCAGCCTGCACTGCACATTCAGATTATTTTGAAAACACTTGATTGTCGTGTCCTGCAGTCCCCAGAAAAACTTGGGACATGTCCCTTGGAGAGAGGGTATTGAGAGCTCTTTGACAGAGACCCCAAGCAATTACAGAACTTCAGCTCTCGTGGTACCTTGGTCGGTAGCCAAAGGCTAAACCAAGTTCAAAACAATTTTCACCCCTTGATATGCTGCCACAGCTTCCTTCTAATGGCACCTTGGCTGTGATCTCTTGCTTTCCCAGGTGCAGCTGATCGAGAGCATCAGCCGGAAGCTGGCGGTGCTGCAGGAGGCCCAGCGGGGCTTGCAGGATGACATTAATGCCAACATAGTCCTGGGCAAAGAAGTGGAGAGTCACGTCAAGGTGGTCTGCAAGCCCCACGAATTTGAGAAGTTCCGCCTCTTCATCGGAGACCTGGACAAAGTGGTCAACCTGCTCCTCTCGCTGTCAGGGCGACTGGCCAGGGTGGAGAATGCCCTTGGCAGCCTGGACTCTGATGCCCCAGAGGAGGAAAAGGTATGCAGTGGGTAGGGAGGGTGCAGTTATGGGACTTGGCACTGTTCCAGTGGGAGCTTGTAAAGCCAAGAGGAAGACACACCTGCCAGCTGGTCCCCTTGTACGGAAGAGCATCCTGTTAGCAGACTGGTCTCTTTTTCCTACGGTCTCTTTATCCCGACCTCCTGTGCTTCTGAGCCAAATCAGAACAAATATTTATGCAAATGTACTTATAATCTTTGGGATTATGCATGGAGGGCTTCAGGATTCTGCTGTTTTGATGCCGAACTTGGGTTACCCAACAGCACAGGGGGAGAGGAGTTGAGGAACCATCTGCCAGTGTGTAGCAGGGAAAGGGTGAGCTGAAATGCCTGATGCCGTGGTTGGGGGGGGAGCAGGCTAGCCTGCCTAGAATCCTGTTCTCTGTTGGCTTCTCAGACAGCCCCTTACTTTTGCCTCTGACTACTGCGAGGGAGGGGGAAATTCTTGCACTTCGGCTGCCAACAAAAGTCCTGCTCCATACCGGCACTTACCTGTCCTCTCCTGTCTCTCTTCCCCTCCTTACAAGCTGGCTCTACTGGAGAAGAAGCGGCAGCTGACAACCCAGCTGGAGGATGCCAAGGAGCTGCAGGAGCATGTTGCTCAGCGGGAGCGTGTGTTCTTTGCCAGCGTGTCGCGCTGCCTGCCCAGCGAGCAGCTGCAGGACTACCAGCATTTTGTGCGCATGAAGTCAGGACTCGCTATCCAGCAGCGGCAGCTGGACGACAAGATCAAGCTAGGCGAGGAACAGCTCCGCTGCCTGCGAGAGAGCTTGCGCCGGGTGCCCCGGGACTGTTAGCGGAGCCCTGCTTGGTGGCCACCAGGAGGGGGTTTATCGGGAGGAACAGCCTGGGCCTCCCACGTGCCAAAGAAGTCCCCCTTGGAGAGGTGCCAGCTGCCCTGCCTGTCATGGACCGTTTGCCATCTGCTGCCTTCTCGCTCTCAGGATAATCATCTTTGCCAAAGACTCTGCCATGCCAGATAACTGCATCGCCTTCTTCCATGGCTGGGGGGAAGGAAGGGCTCACCAAAGTGCTCTTCGCCAGGACGCAGGCTGTGTGGCTGGGATGGATTCTTGCAGCAGCTCAGGAACAGGATGGTGGGATTCCTGGAGCCACACTGGAATGGCGATCATGAGACAGTTCAAGCTTCCTCCGCCTCCTTCCCAGTCTTCTGTAGGGGGCAAGCTGCGCCAGGAGAACCAGCAGCCTTCTGCTCCAGTGGTATCTGCTGCATTGCCAAGCAGAGGACGAAGGCAGCCTGTGAGCAATGGCTGTGGGACCCCTCTCCTCATCTCACGTGCCAGACAACACTTGGAGCATTCTGTTTCTCTTGTTCCAATCATATTTATTTTCCTACCTAACCGGTTTCTTTAAAAAAGGAAAAGAATCAAGAGTGGAATCGTGTTAGGTGGCAGGGATAGTGACAGGACCTGTCTGCTGTGGGCACAGAGGCCGTTCCTTTCAGGTGCCAGCAGTTAGTCCTTCCAGCCTTCATCCCAAGCTTATACTGCCAGCAGCAACCGGGACCCTAATCCCTTGGCCTAGAAGGGTTTTGTCCTAACCTGGGGGAACAGGTCTGTTCAGGTAGAAGCTCTGTGGGATTTAAACCCGGTGCAGAACCCATGAGCTTCTTTTCCATTTAGCCAGCGGGGCCTTTCATAGTGCCTTGATCCAAAGCAGCTCTCCTAAGTCCAGGAAGGGGAAAAAGCCTTTCCAGCTCCTGTTCCTGGCTGAGCCAACTTTTCCCATCAGAGTCTGAAGCAAGGGTAGCACTCCGGGCCTTCTCAGCCGGTTACTCATTTCCCATATTTCCATCTAGGGGTGAAGTTTAAAGACTGTCTGTACGTCAGTCAATCCATCCTGTGAAGGCTGCACATGTCCCTCTTACTGCCTGTGAATGCAAAGGGGAGATGGAGCCCCCAGTCGCCATGTAACACGGAGAAAGGCTCTTGTGCTTTGCAGATCCCGTGAGCTAGAGTCTGGGGTAATCCTGGCCCCAGAAGCCAAGCCACTTCCTTACCATGCTGATAAAGCTGTGCTGGGGAGCAGTATTTGCTGCTGTGCCAACTGTGGGTCTGTGCCCTCCTCTCCCTTGCCAAGAACGTGTGGCTGGATCCCAGAAAGCTCCTTCTGGGTTTGAGGTTAGGGGTCTTGGAGCACAGTGACCTTTGGTCAGGGGCTCTTGGAACTGTTGGGTGTCTCCATGCAGGAGGCAGCCAGGTACAGTATTGTGTCTGCATTAGCCTCCTTGTGCCTTAATGTACCTTTGGGTACAATCCACATTTGTTGGCCCCTTTCACTGTCCACTGTTAGTTCTCACGGCAAACTCAGCCGCCATGTTTCACGGAGGTGCTGAGGATGGAAAGGGATCCAGCCTCCCTTTCCCCATGTTTCTGGAGGAATTGATCTTTCCCAACATGGAAGCCTCTTTGCAGAGGACGTTCTGGGTTCACTCTGGGGTCTGAGGAGTTAATAGGACTTGTCGTCCCCCCCCCCCTTCCTGTGGCCGAAGGAATGTGCTGGTCTCCTGCCACAGAAATTCCACCCCAACATCCTCTTCCTTTCCATTGTCTTTGAAACAATGTTGGGAGGCCAGGCTCCTCACTCTAGCCCCTTGGGTGCTCTGCTGCCCTCAGCCTGCTCTCTGGCTGCAAATTCTCCTGCCGGCAATCAGAAAGGGGAGGCCGTTCCCCTCAGCTGGCACAGTCAGGAGCTACCCACACTTTTTAACCTCGGGGTTGCTTTCTCAGTAGAACCTGTGCTGTTGAGGAGGTGGCTTTGTTGTATACAACAGAGACCCCTTGGTGGAAAAATAGCACTTAACACTTGGAAAGGCCTGCAAGTTAGGGCTTTCTGGTTTGCAGCAAAGGAAATTGTGTTTTCAAATCCTCCCGTTAAAGGACTCCTACACTTACCCTAGTGAGACATTCCTCTTCTTCTCCCGACCCACCATTTGTTTGTCTGCACAGCAGCTGGGCTTCAGCTAGATTAGATGCAAATAGCATGGGGGGTTAACCCTCCCTAACTGTTTTCCAAATGCAAATCTTATTCTTCCCTGGAGCTGCTCTTTGCCCTGTGGAGGGGGGAGCCATAAAGGTGTGTCCTCAGCCAAGCCTTTCAACACGTCTGTCTAGAGATCTTTTGTTAACTTTGCGTAGACAAGCGTCAAAACTGTCTAGACAAACTTGGCTGCATTTGGCTCAAAGGTAGAAAGTGAGTTTGAATAAAAACAGCCATCCAGGACCTCCTTTGCACAACTGCAGTTCTGAACAACCCAGAGACTGCAGAGATGGCAGCACTCTTCAGCCCAGGGCAAGGCAGGGGCAGTAGGCAGGTCTGGAATACCTTCCATCCCCTGCCCTACTGGAGGGGGATGTTTCCCTAATGGTTAGAGTCTGATCTGTGTGCGGCTGAGCACAGTTGAGGGGGCACAGCACGATGGTTTGTTTTCTAGCAGCAGCCATTCCAGAATCCCCTTTGCAACTGAAGACTCCCTTTCCAGGCCTGCCTTTGCTCCAAACACAGGCAGGCAGCCCTGGTTGTTTGCTTTATCCACCCCACCTCTCTTATTCAGGGCTCTTGTCACTGTCCTTTGACTTTCTAATCTGGGTTTTCCTCCACCCCAAGTTGTTTATATGTTTTGCACAGAAGACTATTCCAGATGTTCACAATCCCACAGGGAAGATTGAACTTCTCTTCCTTCGACCTGACCTGACCTTTAAGAAAACTTTAATGTCACATTTTGAACAGCACTTAGACACCCAACCCTGGCTTTTGGCCCCTGTGCGGCACTGCAGGTTTCTCTTGGCATCTGCAGTTGCTGCTGTTCCCTGGCTCACTCACAGCTATACTCTCTGCTGCTTACATGCCTGGAAACAAGCGCCAAAGCTCTCAGCGGATGGGGCAGACTGCCCCATTTCCCAGCCCCGTGGATCTGGCCAGAAGCTGCTGTCCCCCTAACCCAGAGCCCAGCTTTCGTCCTCTTGCTGCCACCCAAAAGCAGTCTCCTGGATTTAGGCATGAGGCTGTGTGGCTTCCCCACTGGTCTGCTCAGACTCTAGATTAGGGTGTGCCCGCTTTTTATCTCCCTCCTTTACATAGTGGGGTTTGAGTTTGTCATCTGGTGCAGCCGGGCGTGAGCTGAGGCTTCCTCTGACCTCTGCTGCACCACTTCCTCCACCAGAAGCCCTGGCCATCATCGGCTGAGATGGAGCTCTTGTGGGAAAGGGCCACAGGCCCCCTGTAAGCCGTAGCCATGGCTGTACCGCTCCACCACCATTCGTGCAGCCATTGAGTCTCTTCCCCCAAGCCAGAATACAAACTAGGTAAGGCAGTGCTTCTGTGTGGTTGACCAAGTTCAAGTAGTTGGTAGAGTGTGTAAATTTTCATGCAACAGGGTTCTTCCTCAGGTGGGGGTAAAAGCAGTTCGGGAACTTGGAGGTGTGCATACTTTAGATCACCCGCTTCTCTCTTTTGGGGGCTGCCAAGAGGAGATGGGTTTCACCTCCTCCTCGTATATGAAGGGATCGGACCCAGGCTTCCTCCCCACTCGTACACCTGTCTTGCCCTGCCAGGGCAGGCTTCCTCTTCTTGCCTAGGCCAGCTTTTCCTCTGCACAGGGAGAGTCCAAGCGCCAGCTCTGTATGTTGCTATGTTATTAAATGCATGTATTGCCGGGTGTAATTTTGTGCTTCCTACACACTAAAGAAATCAATGGTTGCTGTCCAGCGTTTCCACAGCAAGGCCTTTTCCAGTAGCGTTTCTGAAGGTGTCTCTCGCCAGTCAACTGTTCTGTTTTGGCACCACCTCTAGCAGCTCACGCCTTGGGCGTGGGTGCCGTTGTAGGGAGGGAGGGGAAAGGGGCAGAGTCACTCACATTAAATGGTGCTAATGACGATAAGCTTCTGGAGTCCTGTGTGGTGATTTTCCACCGGAGCAACGGTTTGCAGCCTCTTTTAGCTGCGGGGAACGGTAGGAGAGCCACGTCTGAGATCTCTAAGGCATGATGGGCACGAGGCTTGGGTTGCAGCCGACCACTGGCCTTTCTCCCCCAGAGAGGATGGTCCCCCACTTGTACCTTGGAGCTTAATCCCAAACACCAGCAGCACCTTTGCTGGTGCTCTACAGGAGACAGAGTTGGCACAAAAATAAACAGTTGGCATCCCAAGTAAACTTTTGGCATCCTAAAGGCTAATGCAATTTTATTCCCACTTAGCCTTTTAGGGGCCCGAGCCTGTTTTGCCAGGTGCACGTAGTGGATCCCCATTACCTTCCATATGAGTGTTTCTCTGCTTTGGCTTCCACACTGAAGTGCCTTTTTTCGTTGGAGCATCCTCGTGATGTTGTGGTCTAATTGTGTTTGAGCTGTCTCTTCCTTGTCCACAGTATGCTTTCCCAAACCTGCTTTTCACCATTCCCTTTGATAAAACACAGTTCATGCATGTTGTCGCATGTTCTGGATAGCAACGTGAACGTTTCCAAAGGTCGTACCTCCCATTAGCACCATTTTTTTCCTTCCATCAACCCCTTGTGACTCTCATTCACCCCCCCTGCACACACACCCCGTATAATTGCCATAGTGCTATAACATAGCAATTACTGATTTTCCTTAAGCCCTTAAAAGGCCCTTTGGAAGCACAATGGGAAAAAAGACAGGGAAGATGGTGGCTTACGAAAAAAGAGCACAGAAAACTCCTGTGTGGAAGCTCTGTTGTCACAGTCCATGTATCTGCATTTGTAGTGACAGTGAATACAAAACAAGAGAATCTTCACCCTCTGGGTGCAGCTAGGGAGATGCTTCTAGGTGAGGTCATGAAGGGAAAAAAGTTTGTATGTTTAATGCATTATCTTGTGAAAATCTTTCACATGCATCTGATGAAGTAGATTCTAGCCCATGAAAGCTGCCTTTAAGGTGCCACAAGACTCTTATTTTAGTTTTGCCCCTATAGACTTCTCTAGAGTTGGCGCAGGTTCTGTGGAGTTCCTTGTGGATGAAATTGCTTGATCAACGGTGTTCCTTGTAAGGAAAAGGCTGTTAGCTTTGCCTGCTGTTTTAGCCACTAGAGGGCCCTGCAACACAGCCACAATCCTAACCAGGGAAGCGATGGCAGAAGCAGAAGGGTGAATTCTGAGGACCTCCTTTTTTTTCAGATGATGGCTGCAATTATTGTGCGATAGCCCGGTCCTTTGAAGCTTTCAATAGGAGGGTGACTCACGGTGCCAAAACCTTTTTTAAGGCTCCTGCTTGATTTGATCTGGTTTTATAGCCCTGCAAATGGAATAGTTGTTAGTGACCCATTTAAGAGATTGTGGAGCACACGGCCATTTTTTTACAGCCCTGGATTTAGCTAGACCTGGACTGGTTGGGGGGTAATCCTAACATGCAATGATTTCCGCCTGAATTAGCCTGTCTCAAGAGCAACTTCCTCAGGCTTACAGACTCAAGAATGGCAGAGAAATTAGGACTGTGTGGCATTTGCTGTTTGGGTAATCTGCATAAGACTGCAGGGATGGCAGATAATGCTAATTTAGCAAATAGGTGCATTTAATTAGTGTTTAATCAAGTCCATAAACTGCAAATATGACTAACCTTTTAAGCGGGACTAAAGGTAAAGGTTCCCTTGCTCGAAAGCCAGTCAAATCCAACTCTAGAGTTGCGGTGCTCATCTCTGTTTCAAAGCCGAAGAGCCAGCGCTGTCCAAAGAAGTTTCTGTGGTCATGTGGCCGGCATGACTAAACACCAAGGTACACAGAACGCTGTTACCTTCCCACTGAAGTGGTACCTATTTATCTACTTGCAATTTCTTGCTTTCAAGCTGCTAGGTTGGCAGGAGCTGGAACTAGAGACGGTAGCTCACTCTGTCATGCGGCAACTCGGGTCTCAAACTGCTGAACTACTGACCTTCCACAGCCTGCAGTTCAGCATCTTAACCACTTGAGCCACCGCAGTTCCTGTCTCTTAATGGCTATGTAAAGGGAAGCTCAAGAGTTGTCCCTGGAATGAATGTAGCTTTTCAAGCCCTGAAATGAGAGAAACAGCAGGGCTGATAGTGACTGGCTGAAAAAGTATTGAATGTTCTTTTACATATGTATGTACATATTCAGTCTCTCCCCTTTGAGAGAAGAGCATAAATAATTTTGCAAACTGCCTTCAGAAGGAGGGAAGAAAAAACACACATGCTTCAGATGAATAGGAGTACTGAAAGCACGTTTGAGCTTTTGGAGAGTGTTGTAATTATTGGTTACACATTTATTTATTCTCCTTCCTTCATAGAGTTCCCACACACATGATGACCACATAAGGTAGCTAAGTTGAACAATTATGGGGGGGGGGGTCCTTTCAAAATGCACACAGCCATTCAAAAAACCCTCCTTCCAGGCTGTTTTTGGGTTTTCCCGTCTGCACTATTGGTAATACTTGCAAAAGCCCTGAACGGCCAGTCACTGTTGTTTTCTTAAGAATGTGTTAGGGAGCATCTGGCTAGTGCATTCATGTTCAAGGCCACATTTGAACCTACCTTACAATCTAAGCTTATTTCAAAGGGGAAGAGGGCAGTTCTCATTTGCAGTGATGGAACCCCATCCTGGGTTTTGTTGCTAGAGTGTCCCTCGGAGTAAGGAAGCAATCTTGAGAAGCAAGTACAGTTCTACTCTTGACAGCTAGCAGTAGTGAGATGAATGACTGGCATTGCCCCAGTCAGCTATCCCCATGTGGCTCCAGAAACCACCCAGCAGTGAAAATCCTTATAACTCATGAACACATGAGCAACAGTGACTGACAAGCTTGGAGTGAGCAAAGACACAAATGATGCACCAGGCTTGGTGACTGTGCCACAATGGTTAAAGCTGCCTGAAGTTAAGGCCACCTGGTGGGCCTGTTTTAAAGTGGTCTGATAAGGTACACGCATTTGGCTTCCTTCCTTTTTTTGTAAAGCACATACTCAGGTTGATGCATTCAAAGTACGGTTGGACTATGGTGTGTATGGGGGGGATCCCCCTGCCCATTAATGGGCAAACACTATGTTTCTATAGAAGGTGCTACCCATCAGGAAGCCAAAGAGGTCCTAGCTCCTTAGAAGCTGACAGGTACTCCTGCTCTCCATTCTTCTTTATCACAGACCACCCTCTCCCCCCCCAGTGGAAAATAATGTGTCTGAATATCAAAGGCAAACAAAATAGCCACCCAAATCCATCTCACATCCACATGGATATTAACTGGTGCAGTCTGAGAGCAGCATTAACCCATTATTGCCTGCCTTTAATCATTGCCCGGGGCTCTTCTGGTCAATGGCCAGCCAGAATAAGCTTCCCTTTTGCTGCAGAATAATATAGATTCAGTTGGTGGCCCTAATATAGTACAGTAGTCCATGGCTGAATAGTATTTTTAAGGCAATGATAGCTGTCACATTTTACCGTACTCTTCCTCCAAGGAGCTTAGGAGTACTTTAGGTGATCCCACCTCCTGTGTTTTATTTTCACAACAACCCTGTGAAGTAGGCTGCACTGAGAGTTACTGCTCCAAGGTCACCCCAGTGGGTAGGATTTTCAACCCAGACCTCCTGATTTGATACAACATGCAGACACCTGCCTTTCTTACTAAGCAGTAACTTCGTCTTCTGCTATAAGAAATAACCGTCCAATGTGTTTCAGTGTATATTTGTGCTGTTCAGTGAACTGAAGTACAAAAGCTGCAGCACATCCATACTCGCCATCCCTTACGGTTGTGTTATGCAGGATCTCTTTTCTCAACAAGGCTGTTACACTGCAGGGACAGAGGATTAGTGAAGCGGAGATAAAATCCTCATAAACCACAATGGAGGCAAGGAGTTTAGTCTCATGAGGCAGATGACAACCAAGAGTACACCACTCCCACTTGAATTCAAGCTGTAATCCACAGTTGTGAAATGGAGCAGATATTCAGCAAATCTTACAACTGGGCCAAATACCTTGAATGTTTTCACTCCAGAAGGACACAAAGGCCCAGAAAGAGGTTTTTGGGGAGAAGAAGGATATCATTCTGAGGAGCTGGTGCTTAAGGCAAAAGCAGTAGACTGGAGAAAATAAAGCAGGTCATCAAAGCCCTATTTCCTATCCTACAATCAAAACCTACAATCTTTTCTATTAGAGCTTCCCTTGGATCAAAGAAAGTCAAAGATTCAAACAACTGGCTATTACTGACCAATCACTCTTTGCATGAAACACAACATTGGCCATGGGCTGTCACAGTTACGCCCATTTTATTAGGCTTGGTGATGTTACCCATCTTGGGCACTGAACAGTCAGCTACTCGATTTGTGATCAGCATGGAGGGGACACCATTTGGATTTTCAGCTTCAGGCACCAAAAATAAAATGGCCCCGGTCACACAGCAAAGTTGCTGCAGGAGAGGCACAGAAGGTGGGCGGATTATCCGGGTGCGATCACACCCCAACATCTGGGAAGTGGAGCGCACCCGTGGCTTACTGCCGACAATGCACATTTAAAAACTAGTACCTCCAAGGTACTAGTAAATGTTTGCCACGGCTGCCTCCAGATGCCCGTGGTGTGATCGCGCCAGCATGCGGCATTCCCCTCCGGTTCCTCGTTTACCCGCCGGCGCCGAGGGAAGGACCCGTGGTGTGCTGCCGGTGCGTCTGATCGCGTAACCGTGAATCAAACTGCGCCGGGGCAATTAGCTACACCTCCCCCCTTGATTTCAGTGGGACTTTAGGCACATAACTCTGCACCTCTTTATCATCCAAATGTAGCAGCCCTGGTTTTACGACAGAGCTTGCAGTCCACCTGGTCAAAACTCACAGACGCTCTGTAGCCTAATAGAAACTTCTATCTTGTGAGAAATAAATTTTCAATTTGGTGCTTTCAGCATT